GGGGGGGAAGGGCGGTGGTGGTGGGAGGGACCAGGAATGTAGATCAGTAGTGGAGTACACATATGAATCACATTTGATAAACCCTAGCCAAGATCCCCAGCACTGAAAAAACAAAACAAAACAGGGAGCCCCAAATCCCTGGCTGCCCTCCTGGTGGGGCTTAATTTGTTTGGGAAGAGAAAGACCCAAATAATAGTAGTACAGCACCAAAAGTAGTAGTAGTAGTGGTAAATATATATGAAAATAAAGTAGGGAAGAGGAGGTACAGATCTAGCATTCCTCCATTATTCACAGTGGCTCCCCATTGATCCTTGAAGCCATAGATAGTGCCAACCTTACGTATACTATGTTTTTCCCATCCTCACTGCAGTGTTGCTGTGTAGTACCAGAATTCATCTGTCCTTCTCTATTTTATGCCCTGGTGACTCATTGGCTTGGCCATTACTAAATAACAATAAGGTTACTTGAACACAAGCACAGTGATACCATGACAGTGGATCTGCTATCCACGATGGCTACTAAGTGACTAAAAGGGGCAGGCAGTGTATTCAGCACAGATCTGCTGGAGGAAGGATTCGAGTTCCTGATAGGACAGAGTGAGAAGGCTGGAGATTTCATAACTTCTGATTTTTGTTTTTTTGGGGTTTTTTTTGGTACCGGGGATCGAACTCGGGTCCTTGCACTTGCGCAGCAGGCGGCGAAACCACTGAGCTAAATCCCCAGTCCCTGGTTTTGGTTTTCATTTTTTCTTTTTTGGTACCAGGGATTGAACTCCGGTCCTTGCTCTTTCAAGGCAGGTGGCAGAACCACTGAGCTAACTCCCCGGCCCGGTAACTTCTCAATGGTAAAAAATTTGAAATTTATGATTTATGTCTGAAATCTTCCATGTAATAGTTTGGGATTGAAATTGACTGTAGGTAACTAAAATTGCAGAAATTGACACTTTGGCTGAGGGGCCTACTGTGTAGACTCAGGCCTCTGGGGGATGTGGCTTCTACTCTGAGATGGTAAATTGCTGGACCTTTCTAAGGAAACTGACATGACATGATTTATGTCTATGACTGAAGCAAACTTGGGCAAAAGTAATCTTTTGTGCCCTCATTGTATTCACCTGTAAAATAGGGTTAATCATAATGTCTACTTAAGAGGATCACTGAGCAATAAAGAAGTCAGTATTTGTAAAATG